TCCTGCTGTCTTACACGTGGCTACTGCGTCGAATGCGGCTTACCAGGGCACGTGGCTCGGAGAGACAATCTCTCCCGCCTTTCGTACACTCGGCTACAATGCGGTTTACGCGGCCACGTTTGCTCGGAGAGACAATCTGCTCCTCGTTCTTACACTCGGCTACGTCGTCAAATACGTTCACTCGGTGGCAATCCGTTTACGCGGCCGCGTTGCTCGGCGGCGCTTGCTCAGCGAGACAATCTCTCCTCGTTCTTACCCTCGGCACAATGCTTACACGCGGCCACTTCGTCGAATCGTTGTTACACGCGGCCGCGTTGGTCGACGCGTGTGCTCGGAGAGACAATCTCTCCCTCCGTTCTTACATTCGGCTACTTCGTCGAATCGTTCTTACACTCGGACAATGCCGTTTACCCGGGGCGCGTTTGCTCCGAGCGACAATCTCTCCTCCTTTCTTACACTCGGCCAATCGCGTTTACCCGGCCGCTTTGGTCGACGCGTGTGCTCGGAGAGACAAGCGCTCCGTATACGCGAATGCGTATTCGCGTTCTATATTTGTTCTGCACTATACCCTTAGAATGCACGTGCGCAGCTTTTAATAATTAACTTCACATAAAGGAGAATACTGCCCCTTCATATTATTCATGTAAATCTACATTTTATATGCATTTAACCGGTACCACCGTGTCCCCATGGTCATGTTAAAAGAAGTGGACTACACAACAAGAACAAAACAGGGCAAAAGGCAGCACAAAGAAACAGAATTAAGCAGAACAGAGCAGAAAAAAAAAAAAAGATATAGAATAGTGCAAACAAGAAATATATTATGTATATCACATAATGAAATAAAAGTGGTCTAATGTTAGCATGCGTTAGTTCGCATTCATATGCCGCGTCATCCTAATTGCAGAGCTTGTCCAATAGTTCATCCAAATATAACTCCTTCTCCTGCAAACTGCGTTCCAGCTCGCACTGTTCTATGACTAATGCCAGGATCAGTATCCATGTTTTAGCGGTTAACACTGTTTTCATGTAAGGTTGCGGATGCAGTTGCGTCCGTGGTACATCTCGCACTCTCAGTATATCTTCTGTGCCCAGTACTTTTTCCACTTCTACGTGTGTTTCAACTCCAGGTATTTCGCGTGTTTGCGATACTGTCTCCTGCTGTACAGTATTCAACAAATGTTGAAACCACTGCGCCTCACCATACATACGCATTTGCCGATGTTGCTGTGCGACCCATTCTTTCCACAGGTCCAATTTCTTCCTTTCCATGGTTGCGGCTGTCCTGTGCTCACCGGATGCAGCGTCTGCCACCATGTGCTCACGCAGGTATTGTTTCCAATCCGCTTTTAATTGCAGAAACCACGGCTGCGTCGTGCACGCCTGCAATAGGTGCTTGTTGCGGTCAATCCAACGCAGCCACGTGGTAGTGTGGGATGTGGTTATGTCTGTGATTTCGGGCTTAGGATCATGGCAGCTTGGTAGGTGCGTGACGGTGTCACGTGTGGGTATGTCCGTGACTGCGTCACCGGAGCCTGGTGGTTGTGTGATTTCGGGCTTAGGATCAGCACATGTGGGTGTGTCTGTGACTGCGTCACATGAGCGTCTGTCCCTGACTGCGTCACGTGTGGGTATGTCTGTGATGTGGGGCTGAGGATCATGGCAGCTTGGTAGGTGCGTGACGGTGTCACATGTGGGTGTGTCTGTGACTGCGTCACCGGAGCCTGGTGGTTGTGTGATTTCGGGCTTAGGATCCTCACATGTGGATATGTGCGTGACGGTGTCACATGTGGGTGTGTCTGTGACTAGGGCACATGAGCATGGTGGGTGTGTAATTGCGGGCGTAAGGTGTGCACATGTGGTGGTGTGCTTGACGGTGTCACATGTGGGGCTGTCTGTGATGTCGGGCTGAGGATGATCACATGTGGGTGTGTCTGTGACTGTGTCGTTTGTGACTGTGTGTTGTGTGATGTCGGGCTGAGGATGATCACATGTGGGTGTGTCTGTGACTGCGTTACCGGAGCCTGGTGGTTGTGTGATTTCGGGCTTAGGATCAGCACATGTG